CTTCCTTTTTAAGGCTGAAGAAAATAGTCCATTACACAGACATACCACACATGTTTATTCATTCATCCATCGATGCATACTGGGTTTGCATCCACGTTTTGGCTATGGTGTATAATGCTGTTATGAGCACAGGTGTACAAATAACTCTGCAAGTCCCTAATTTGTAATTATTTGGGGTGTATACCCCGACGTAGAATTGCTGGATCATATGGTAACTCCATGTTTAATTTTTTGAGGAACTACCACGCTGTTTTCCATAGCAGCTAAATAGGTATTGTTTTAAACTGCTAACTTTGTGCTAATTTGTCACTCAGCAATAGAAAATTAATACACTTGAGTGCTCTCTCCCAGCCCTAGAGATAGTAACTGCTTCCTACATGTGTTAGTCCCATACTGTTTAGGGTTTTCTTTACCTCTCTTTGTAGCTAATCCTACTAGTTAATAATTCTTTATAAAATTTTCCCTATTCAAACTACTGATGTGGTGTGTGTCTCCTGAGTGGCCCCTGATGGACAGACTCTTTAATAAATGGTGTGTTCTATACAGAAGGTAATTTGGAGAACTAGCTTCATAACCAGCCCCTGGCATACACAGCAGATTCAGCAACATCCACTCATTTTCTGTGGTAAACTCTTAAGAGTTTGAATTTGTTTGGGTTTGTTTTGGGTGCAATTCATATCTCTAACCTCTGTGATATTGTATATTCCTGTTTTAAAATAAAATATTGGAAATAGGGGCACCTGGGCGGCTCAGTCGTTAAGTGTCTGCCTTCGGCTCGGGTCATGATCCCAGGGTCCTGGGATCGAGCCCCGCATCGGGCTCCCTGCTCTGCGGGAAGCCTGCTTCTCCCTCTCCCACTCCCCTTGCTTGTGTTCCCTCTCTCGCTGTGTCTCTCTCTGTCAAATAAATAAATAAAATCTTTAAAAATATATATTGGAAATAAATGATAGCACAGTGATCTAAAGAAAAAGAACTTGAGTTTCATCAATTCTGTGAATTCTATTTGATCACTTGGAGTTTTTATTTGTGTTAAAAATCTAAAACATCAAAAAGGTATAAACTACAAGATGTTTAATTTTTTGGTGGTTCCAAATTTTGATTCATATATTAAACATTTTATTAAATTTGAATATGTTTAAAATAGAATTTTGTATTTCCTTTTAAATTATTTATTTTAAATCTAAGTATGGATCAAAAAATAATGATTATCACTGAACATTAAATCTATACTGAAAATAGTTTTGGTGTATAAAGGAGGAAAGTACTAAAAAATAATCTAGCCCAGGTGTAAAATATTAGGTATTACCATTGGGAGTATGCCCATTAATGGTTACATTAGATTCGCACTCGCTGTACTGTTACAAATATTGCTTTGTCTTTATTCAATATATTAAAATAATTCTAAATCAAACAGCACAAAGACATACAGAATAGGTCTAATTCTACCTTCTAAATTCCCTTCCCTAATCTTGTGCTTCCTAACTTAATTTCCTTCAACCTTTCTGTGCAGACTCTTGGTTCAAGCTTTGCTCTTAAGACAAAACAGCAATATTGGGACTTTAAGTTTCCTAAATTTTCCTCTTCTTGGCTGCTTTTTTTTTTTTTAAGATTTTATTTCTTTATTGGGGGGGAGGGGCAGAGGGAAGAGAAACGCAAGCAGATTCTACTGCACTGAGCTCAAGGACTGACCCAGGGCTCAATCTCACAACCCCAAGATCAGACTTGAGTCAAAGTCAAGAGTCAGATGCTCTACCAACTGTACCACCCAGGCATCCTGGCTGCTTCTTTTAAAATAAAATGATGGAAGCACCGAATTCTTCCAAAGAGAAAGACATGGAAAATAGAGGGGCCTTTTTTTTTTTTTTTTTTTTTTTTAAGTAATCTCTACACCCAAGGTGGTGCTTGAACTTACAACCCTGAGATCAAGAGTCACATGCTCTACCAACTGAGCCAGCCAGGCACCCTAGGATGTTTTTCTTCATACATACAGTTTCTGGCCATGGTCCCTTTGAGCCAGAGGATTGCCCCTCCCTGAACTGTCCTCCAAGAACTCTGTGCCTCTCTGAAGACCCAGATGTCTGTCGACTTCATGTCCTACCAAGCCATGAACCCCAGAGCAAGCACACAGGGGCACTGATTCCCAAACCAAGTACCCACATATTGACTGGTTACCATAGCAACGAGAGCTGAGACACATTAGCCCCTGAGCCACTCCATCTGCAGGCCCCACCGAACCCCAGAGCGAGGAGGGTTATCGATTCTCTCCCTACATAACTCTCTCCTTCCTGCCACTGCTGCATATTTACTCCACAGCAATACTGAGCAATAAAGGGCCCCCAGATCATCCATGCTCCTCATTCATAACTAAGGGAGCACAACAGAATCAGGTAGGGAGCTCTTGAGAAGTACCTGACACACTGTACCAGAATCCCCAGGGCTGGGGGCTGCGTTCATGTATTTCAAACATGGTGATCCTCATACACCACCCCAGTTAAGAACCACTGCTGTATAGAGCATGAACAGAGTTTACAGAAGGAAATACCAAAGGATTTCAGACATAAGATGTTATCCTTGCCCAGAGACAAGGACCCCACAATGTGATACTATATTTTTCACCTATCAGATTGACAAAGATCAAAAGTTTGATAATCATAAACGAAGAGCTAATCCCCCTAATTTATAAAGTGTTTCTACAAATGGATAATGAAAAGACCAATAATCTAATCCAATAGAAAAAGGGCAAAGGAGATGAGCAGATAGTTGAAAGGAAAATACTGTATTCATAATAAGAAAATCTAATACAACAACCCATACAAAGGTACCAAAAGTTTGGTAATACACTGATGAGGTCAAAGGGGATCAGGGCGGTGAGAAGGCAAACTGGTACAGTTCCATGCAGGCAGTACTCATGAAAACTGCAAGCACTTTTCATCCTTGAGCCATTAATTCTACGCCTAGGAATTTAACCAGCTGATATTAACTGCACATGTGTGAAAAGATTTAAGTAGAGGGCTGTTCATCTGCAGCAATGTCTGCAGCAGCAAAAGATCAGAAATAACCCATTTCCCAACAGGAGACCAGTTAAATCAATTACAGTACAGCCATACAGTGAAATACTCTGCTAGACAACCATTTAAATAAAAGAAGTCAGATCAATGAAACAATCCCGACATTTTGAAGTGAAAAAAAAATTACAAGGTAGGGAAAAACAGTGTGTGATTAATGGCAAAATTATTTTCAGTAATGATCATTTAATAATCACTAATAATCATTATTTTCTCAAGTCATACTTCAGATTTAAAACAAGTAATTAACTATTTTTAAAGACTAAGTTTCTATTTAAAAATATTTCAAATTCGATACATACATATGTAGCATATGTATACTTGTGTTATACAGATTAACTACGAAACATACACACACACACACACACAAACTGGTTACACGGCAGATCTCAATAGACATTTTTCCAATGATAGAAAGATGGCCAACAGGTATATGAAACAAGGTGCTCAACATCACTCATCATCAGGGAAATGTAAATCAAAACCACAATGACTTAACACCTCACACCTGTTAGAAGGCTATCACCAAAAAGATAAAAAATAAGTGTTGGCAAGAATGTGGAAAAAGGGAACCCCAGTGCACTGTTGATGGGATTTGTAAACTAGTGCAGCCACTATGGAAAACAGTAGTGTTTTGTGGAGTTTTAATTTTGGGGGGAAACTCCAAAATTAAAAGTAGAACAACTATATGATCCAACAATTCCATTTCTGGATATTTATTCAAAGAAAATGAAAACACTAATTTGAAAAGATGTATGCACCCCTTTGTTCACTGCAGCATTATTTACAATAGCCAAGATACTGAAACAACCTACGTGTTCATCAAGAGATGAATGGATAAAGAAAGTGGGGTGTGCATATACAATGGAATGTTATTTGTCCATTAAAAAAAAAAAAAGGAAATCTTGCCATTTATGACATGGATGGAACTTGAGAGCATTGTGCTAAAGAAATAAGTCAGAGAAAGACAAATATCCTATGATCTCATTTATATGTGGAACCTAAAAAAAAACAAGCTCGTAGACACAGAACAGATTGGTGGTTGCTAGGGGGCGGGGGAGTGACATGGGTGAAGGGAGTTAAAAGGCACAAACTTCCAGTTATAAAATAAGTAAGTCATGGAGATGTAATGTACAGGATGGTGAGTATTGTTAATACTGTACCGCATATTTAAAAGTGGCTAAGAGAGTAGATCTTAAAAGTTCTCATCAGGGGTGCCTGGGTGGCTCAGTCGATCAAGTTTCTGACTCCTGATTCTGGCTCAGGTCATGATCTCAGAGTTGTGAGATCCAGCCACAAGTTCAGCCCTGTGTGGAGCCCCCCACCCTTGATCCCCGCATCAGGCTCCCCGCTGGGCCGGGAGACTGCTTATCTCTCTCCCTCTGCCCTTCCCACCCTCTCTAAAAAAATAATAATAATAAAAGTTCTCATCACAAGAAAAATGATTTTTTGTAACTATATATGGTGACAGATGTTAACTAGACTTATTGTGGTGATAATCTCACAATACATACAAATATGTCATCATTATATATATTTTTAAAGATTTTATTTATTTATTTGACACAGAGAGAGAAAGCACAAATGGGCAGAGAGGCAGACAGAGAGAGAGGGAGAAGCAGGCTCTCCACTGAGCAGGGAGCCAGACGTGGGGCTCAATCCCAGGACCCAGGGAACATGACCTGAGCCCAAGGCAGCCGCTTAACCGACTGAGTCACCCAGGCACCCCAATCATTATGTTTATATACCTGAAACTAATATAATGTTATATGTCAATTATAAATCAATTAAAAAATAAAACAGGAGAGTTACAAGCATAACAGAAGAAAAACATAAGTACTCGGAGGCAAGATGATTAATTTGCAGATTCTACAGGAATGTGGTGTAGCTGTAAGAGTAAAGAAAGTTTATTTCCCCAAGCAAGGGGGAAAAGAATGGAGATGCTGGGGATCGAACCCAGGACCTCATGCATGCTAAGCATGCGCTCTACCACTGAGCTACATCCCCACCTGCTGGCAACACTGCTTTTCTAAGCTGTTTTCATGAAATAAATCAGAAATTTGCTCCCTTAAAAAAACACATAGAGATAGCCAGGTCTCTATGGTCACAGAGATAGCCAGGAGGTTTGAGGCGGGGAGGGCAATGAAGGTAATGCAGAGGGTGTGTAGGGGGAGGTTCTGGGAGTTAGGAATGAATGGAATTTACTTTTCTCTCTATGCTTTTTGTACTACTTGAGTATTTTACCATGTAGGCATTGCTTACTTAAAGATGTAAAATAAAATAAAAGAGAAAATAAAGGTTAAACAAAACCACTTTTCTGCAACAATCCTCCCACTTTACAGATGGAACACTGAGGCTACTAAATAAGAGAAGGGGTCTCTCCTATCTACAAAGCCTCCAGCTCCTCCAAGTAGTGGGACCACCTCCCTCCAAGCCCCAGAATCCTTGTTCTTTTCAGGGTTAGAAACTATCCATGCCTTGTTGCCATGATTTCCATGCCTCAGCCAGAGCAGTACCCAGCACAGGGCATCCATCATTTTTGTTAATCCTTTCATCCTGCAACCAGTGTTTGTTGAGGACTGCCCATGGTCTAGACATTATGCTAACTGCCAGGAGTACACTAATAAGTCCCTCCTGACCTTGTAGACAGGGCTGCCATGTACATACACATAGGATGTGCACTACACAATTTCAGGAAATGCCGTTCACATAAACTATTATTTAACTGGTACCCCCTGGATTTGTGCCAGGTAAATCTAACTATACCCAGTGGCCTTGCCCGTATGTCCAATAGCCCAGTGGAAAATATAGCCCAGTGGAGAAAATAAAGTAATACATATATATTTCTCCTAATTGGAATCAGGGCAATATAAGAAAAGAACCAGGTGTTATAAGAAAGAACAAAAGGAGGGACCTATTTTGAGTCCCACATAAGCCATTCTGAGAAAGTGATATTTAAGCCAAGAAATTATGTTAGTTAGGAATTTTATTTAGTTGCTATTAACAGAATTTCATAGCTTTAACAAAACAGTTTCCAATTTCTCTCATTCCATGAGAAACCAGAAGGTAGACAGCCCAAGACTAATTTGGCAGCTCCATAAGTTATCAGGAGCCCAGCCTCCTTCTGTCTTTCTGCTTTACATTCCTTAACATGTGACTTTCATTCTCTAGGTCACCTTGTGGTCCAAAATGGTTACTAGAGCTCCAGCCACCACATGGGCATCACAGACAACAGGACAGGGCAAGGACATTAGAGAAATAAGGGAACACGCCCCCACCATTTAAGGAGATGACTGAGCTTTACAGAATACTCTACTTCTACCTCACTGGCCAGAAAAGGGTCCCATGAACATACCATGCTGCAAGAGAGGCTGGAAAGCGTAGTCCCTAAGGCATCGCCCAGAGTTGTTACTAAAAAGGGGGAATTGTTTTTGAGAAGCAATGAGCAGCCTCTGCTATGGACTAGGAGAATAACAGGAGTTAATTAAGTGAAAGAGGTGGTAGGGGAACAGGTTCCAGGCAGAGGGAACACAAGTACAAAGGCTCCAATGACAAAAGGAGGTTGGTGTGTTCTCAACTGAAAAGAGGCCAGGGTGGCCAAAACACACTGAGGAGGCAGTGAGGAACCAAGAGAAGGAGCAGGAAAAGTATTCAGCCCCCTTATGCACAACAGCAAATGCAGGTGCCTACCTTCCACTCTGGGGAAAGCCTTGGAATCAAAGAGACCCATGTTCACATTCTAACTTCACTTCTTTCTCACTGAGAGCCTTTGGGTAAATCTTTTAACTTGTCTGAGTCTGTTTTCTTACTTGTAAAACAAGACTTATATGGGAACAATCTATAGATCTATTATGTGGATTAAATAAAATAATGTATGTAAGTTAGCACAGCACCTAACACATATTTAGCACACATTATTTATTAATTACATATTTGACCAAAAAGACTTACGTAATTGTGACACAGTCAATAGTCAAGGTTGTATCCCCAGCTTTGAACAAATCACCAAATCATCCCATAGTTAGTGCTTAAAAAATGGTCACTCGGGCGCCTGGGTGGCTCAGTCGTTAAGCGTCTGCCTTCGGCTCAGGTCATGATCCCAGGGTGCTGGGATCGAGTCCCACATCGGGCTCCCTGCTCAGCGGGAAGCCTGCTTCTCCCTCTCCCACTCCCCCTGCTTGTGTTCCTGCTCTAGCTATCTCTCTCTCTGTCAAATAAATAAATAAAATCTTAAAAAAAAAAAAAAATGGTCACTCTTCCCATTGTGACTATTGCCAAGAACAGTAGACAGCTCATCAGAGTTTCTTCCGGGCTCTTTCTTGACTCCTCATCCCAGGCCAGCCAACTACAGATCTATCCAATCTTCAGCTCACCTACCTTAATGACAAACTAGAAATAAGGGTGCAGGAATGAGGGAATGACGTCCCAGGGAGCTAACAAACCCCCAGGTGACTAGTTAGAGTCCCAGTCTCTCTGTTTTGCTCAGGCTGTAAGAGTAAATAAGCTCGGCCCCAATGCAGAAATGCTTACTGCATTGAACTTTAATAAAACTCACACTTGGACTCCAGGAAATACTGCCATTTATATCCCCATTGATTTTCTAAGCCTATTTTATTATTCCTCTTCCCGGTGAGGGTTGTATATATTTTGGGACTGCATTCCTTTCATAAATTAGTAAATATGTAAGTAAATACTAATAAGAGCTAACTGTTATTAAGTGCTTGGGCCAGGGAAAGGGATGGTGCTGCAGGGCTTTGCCTCTGTTAGTTTATTCCCCCCGTTATAACAACCCAATGAGGCTGGCACTCCGGTGGTTTCCATTCTACAGAGGAGGAGACTAAGATCCCAGAGGTAAGGTCCCTCCCCGCAAAAAGGAGCAGGGTAGATGCTATACAGTCTAGTAGTTCCTCAAAAAGTAAGCACAGAGCTGCCATATGACCCACCAATGCCACTCCTAAGTGTATACCTATGAGAAATAAAGACATGTCCATCCATGTTCACGGCAGCACTAGTCATGAGAGGCAAAAAGTGGGAAAAATTCAAATGTCCATCAACAGACAAATGGACAAACACAACGTTATATATGCCCTCGAGGAAATATTATTCAGCCATAAAAAGTAATGAGACTGACACACTACAGCATGGGTGAATCTTGAAAACATTATGCTAAGTGAAAGAAGCCAGACACAAAACGCCACATATTGTAGGATTCCATTGATATATCCGGATTAGCCAAACCCATAGAGACAGGAAGCAGACTGGTGGTTGCCAGGGGCTGGGGGATAGAAGGGAATCAGGAGTGACTGCAAGTGGAAACACGGTTTCTTTCCAGGGTGTCGGGGGGGTGATAAAAATGTCTGGGGCGCCTGGATGGCTCAGTCAGTTAAGCGGCTACCTTCGGCTCAGGTCATGATCCCGGGGTCCTGGGGTTGAGCCCCATGTTGGGCTTCCTGCTCAGCAGAGAGTCTGCTTCTCCCTCTCCCTCTGCCTGCTTGTGCTCTCTATCAAATAAATAAAATAAAATATTTAAAAAGTTCAGGACTTAGTGATGATGGTTGTACATCTCTATAAATATACTAAAACCCACTGAATTGTATACTTTTACATTGTGAATTTTATGGTAAATGAATTGTATCTCAATTTTTATTGAAAAAGAGGGAGAGCATAGATTTAACTTCAAGGCCATGTGATCCAAAGGCTTGATTACTGCATTCTGAGCAGCTCATGTGGACATGAACCCAAACTCCACTTTACTTCCTAAGTGCCTTCCTTCCCTTAGTCCCTACCAGTCAAGCTTCTGAAGTCAATGCCAGGCCAGAGAGGGAAATGCTGAGCGCCTGAACTAAGGCAATAGTTTGAAAAAGCCAATAGTCTTTCCTTTCTCTAAACCCCCTGAGCATGGGGCTGGCTCCCTCCCAGGCCTGGGACCCTGAGCACATCACAGAGTACTCCATTAATGGAAGCTTTACGTCATTTGGAAGCTTCTGGGGCTAAGAAAATCTCAGTGGTCAGCAAGTTTAATCACAACTGCCCGAATGAGGCCAGCTCACCCATTAATAACAAGCCAGTTCCAGAAGGGAGAGGCAAGATGGCTGACGCAAATGAATTTCTCTAACTATAGATTCAACAACTATGGTAGCCTGGCCCCCCAGGCTACATCTTCACCGATACATAATAATTTGTACTTCTGCAAGTGTTCCCAGTTCACACACACACACACACAAGCCTAAAGAAGACCCCAAGCAAAAAACATGGCCTGGCACAAAGGACAGGAGCTTTAATGTTTGAGAGTCCTGGGTTCAGATTCTGACCCTACCACTTAGGGGCAGAGTAGCCTTAAGCGGGTCACATAATTTCTCTAAGCCTCAGTTTCCCCATCTGTCAAATAACTTCTACCTCCTTCATGGTTATACTGGAACTAGGAGATGTTATATCTGAATGTTCCCGCTTGCAGTGGGGCTCAGCACATGGTAGCTGTTATTAACTGTAGTATTAAATGACTTGGGTCATTTCCACATCATGTCCCCCAACACACTGAAGTTTGGGGTATGGCAGCAGCCACGTGGCCAGAAAATGATTCTATAATTTTAGTGCACCTGGGATGCTTGTTTAAAACACAAGCATTTGGAGCGCCTGGTTGCGTCAGTCAGTTGAGCATCTGCCTTCGGCTCGGGTCATGATCCCAGGGTCCTGGGATCGAGCCCCGCGTCAGGCTCCCTGCTTGGCAGGGAGCCTGCTTCTCCCTCTCCCTCTGCCCCTCCCCCACTCATGCTTGCTCACTCTCGCTTGCTCTCTCTCTCAATGAATGAATAAAATCTTTTTTAAAAAAAAAACAAAAACAAAAACGCTAGTATTCCCTGTGCTCACTTCAGCAGCTATACATACACTAAAACATAAGGATGCTCAACCCCTGCAATTCTGATTGCAGGGAGGGGGACTGAAGGTGCTGCTCAGTGTTTGAAACTTTCAGATAATGAAAGACTGGCTCAGTTGGTAGAGCATGCAAC